TACAGAGGCAGATGGCACGGGGACAGGGGCATGGGAGGTGAAGGGAGGCAGGTAGAGGGGAATAGGACGGACTTCAAAGCCATCAACCATCCACCAACCATGAGTTAAAGTTGGGAGCACAGGGGCAGCTAGGTGGCACAGTGGATAGAGCTCTGGCCTTGAAGTCAGGAGGACCTGAGTTCAAATCTGGCCTCAGACACTTGACACTTACTAGCTGTGTGACCCTGGGCAAGTCACTTAACCCCAATTGCCTCACCAAAAAGCAAAATAAATAAATAAATATAGTTGGGAGCATTAGGGAGCACAGACCCAATGGAGATGGATGAAAGATTGATGGGCAGGAGTTTGAGGTCTTATTTTTATAGGGGTTTTGGGGGGGAGCAGGCTAACTGTTATCTGTGCCACCTTGGGCTTGGTTCATCAACACATTCAAATCATCTCAAAGTTATTGGCAAAACTTTTAAGTTAACATGTCCACTTCATCTCAAGGTTACCAGAACCTTTTGACGTTCTGCTGGTCTGGAGCTGTGGAGGTCTGGAGTTTGTCTGGGATTTACATATCATAGGAGCGGAAGGTCCTGACAGCAGTGCCTAGGTGACTTCTCCTGATTCATATTACTAGGATGCAAATTCTGGCTAATGTATGACACAATTTGCAAATTTTGCTTCTTTGATCTTTGGGATGATTTGTCTGAGATTTCCAGGTTCTCCTTTGTTATTTCCTGCTACTATCCCTTTTATACTGGCTACTTATAAACCTACCATACAGACTAGAAGGGGAGGGAGGTCAGGGCGACCAGAATAAGGCACAATTTTAACACAAAAACAAACTAACACATCACAACTGAGTCTAACCTGAGATGAAATGGCTTTTACATTTTATTTTAATTTTTTGTCATTCTTGACAAACACCAACAAACACAGACATTACAATCTACAAAGACAGATAGGAAAAGAGAATTGCATAGGAAGCTGTGACTTTTTACTAAGTCCAGTTTGTTTGCCCTTTTTGCATATGTGTGATTTCAGGGGTACAGGGGAAGTCCCAGGTGAGGAAATTCCCTCCACCAATGCAAGTCTCGGTGACTTCGAGCCTTAGAGAGTTGTCTCGGCACTGAGCGGCTCAGTGATTTGCCCGCATCACATAGCTAGGACGTATCAGACAATTTGAACCAGATCCTCCTGACTTAGAGGCCTTCTCTATATATGTTATATCTTGCTGCTTCCCTACCTTTTTTAATTATAAAACAAATCGAACACATTCGTTTCAAAGCTTGTTTGTGTCTCTCTCTAAAGTTCTTTCTCTTCACCTCTGTGCATTCTTTTAAATGTTTCACTGACACTCCCTTGGCTGTGGAGGGAGGCTGAATGGCTCTTTGGGGGCCATCCACAGCACAGAGCATGCTCAGAGCTTCCCTTCCCACTCTGATGCGGGAGCTCCAGGGCTGGCTTCTGGCCACATGTATGACTCATTATAAAAGGGGTCAAATTTGAGATGATGGAGAGTCCCCAGATGGCTGAGTCACAGGACCTGGTGACTTGAAGGAAATCTACCTGACCTTCTATTCCTTTTCAGTTTTGAATCATGAGAACTGTTTTCACAATGTGTCCTGAGAGTGGGGTTGGGCAAGGAGCTGTTACCTTTGCCTGCCACCTGGTCTCCACGTAGCCACGAGAACATAGCCTGCTGAAGCAAGCTTGTACCCGGGCTCCAGCTGCAACCCTTTTTTGTATTCATTCTTTTCTGATCTTGGGCCAAAACATAGGGCGGCACTATTTGGGTGAGCATTTCACCTTGGCTTGGCACTGTCCAAACAACTCCTGGTCCGGGTCTGCGGATAAAATGACTAGGCTTGGCTCAGTCCTCTTGTTGGGGGCCATCCTCTGCAAGAGTCCTAGAAAAGCTGCCAAGATTCTTCCCTTTGCTGACATTCAGCTCCAACCCAAAGGATTTAGGACCATGGACTTCTTTTTTTTTTTTTTTAGGCAATTGGGATTAAGTGACTTGCCCAGGGTCACACAGCTAGTAAGTGTCAAGTGTTTGGTCTAAGGCCGGATTTGAACTCAGGTCCTCCTGACTTCAGGGCCAGTGGACCATGGACTTCTTGAACTTACAAGGTTAAGCCTAAACACATCCAATGTGGCATAGACAAAGTCTACCTACCTGGACCCTCAGGCAGTGTAATCTGACCTGCTAAGTAACCCATGGGTCTTGTCATCTGCCCTGAGCTGGGCTCTTTTAAGCGTTCTCTCTCTCAATTAGAGTGGGTGTTTTTGTCCCTGGTGCTTAGTAAGCACATAGTTAAGAGCTCAATAAATACTTTTTTATTCTTGCATTTATTTCATTCATTCTCTGGAAATCCTGGAAGTTTCCAAGGGAGCTCCCAAGAACACATTCCTTGGAATGGCCCTGAAAACAATTCAAAAGTTTAATGCCAGAAAATTCCAGTTGGCTGTGTTAGTCCCTTCCTCTCTGGGTTTTGGTTTCATCTGAAGGATGAAGGTTGGAAGGATGGAGCTGAATGAGATGATTTTTGAGAGGTCATTCTAGCTCTGATATTGCATGGTCTAAAGGTCCTGCCAGCTCTCACATTCGCTGTTCTAAGGTTCTTCCCACCTCTGACAGTCTGACATTCCATGTTCTATGTTCTAAGGCCCCTCCCAGCTCCAAAATTCATGTTTCCAAGAACTCTCCCAACTCTGATATTCTACGAGGCAGTTAGGTGTTGCAGTGCATAGAGTACTGGATCTGGAGTGAGGAAGACCTAAGTCCAAATCCACTTACCAGCTGTTTGGCCCTGGGCAAGTCACTTTACCTCTGTCTGCCTCAGGTTCCTCAACTATAAAATGGGGATAGTAGCAGCACCTCATTCCCAAGGTTGTTTCAAATGAGATAATATTTGTAAAGCGCTCAGCACAGTGCCTGGCACATAGTAGGTGCTGTATAAATGTTATTCCCCCATGTTCCAAGGTCCCTCTCAGCTCTGACATCCTATAATTCTTTGAACGTGTTACAATAGGAGCTCAGCTGGACAGCCACACAAAGAAAGCACAATTTCCCAAACTTCCAGAGGGCTCTCTCCTTTGCAACAGAGCCAGACCTCTGCACCAGGAGTTGTGTCCTGAGCGCTGTGCTTCAGCTGATAGAGAATACAAAAGTGCTTGGAAGGTCAGCAGCCTCCCCTCACATCCCTTACAATCTCATTGATTAAAACTGGCCATTGAGGGCTGGCTCTGGCTTTGAGGCTAGAAGGTCTGGGCTCTATCCCCAGCTCTGCCTCTTCAATCCAAGACAGAGTAAATGAACAGAGCACCAAGTGTATTTGTTGGTCTGGTGACTTTCACTTGTGTGGCCTTAGACAAATCCCTTCAACATTGTAAGAGATGGTTTCTATAAGAGGCAGGCTAAGTAAGACTTGTATGAATGGATGCAGAAGGCAGTGAGTAGAACCCGAGGTCAGTCTCCCTCTCTGCCGTTCACTTCCCACCATCCTCCCAGTCCCTCAGACTCCCAACCTAGGTGTCATGTGGGACTCCTCACTGTCTCTCCCCTCCCACGTCCAGTCTGCTGCCAAATCCTGTCGATTTCACCTTTGCAATGTCTCTCCCACATGCCCCCTTCTCTCCTCTGGTGCTGACCCTCATCACCTCTCACCGGAATCATTGCAGTAGCCTTCTTCTTGGCTTTCTTGCTATAGGGCTTTCAGGACTCTAGTCTGTCTTCTACTCAGCTGTCAGAGATTTCCCTAAATTCAGAGGTGAGGAACCTTCGACCTCAAGGCCATATGTGGCCTTCTAGGTCCTCAAGTGCCACCCTTTGACTGAATCCAAACTTCACAAAACAAATCCTTTTATTAAGCGTCCCCTGTGAAGTTTGAATTCGGTCAAAGGGTTGCGCTTGAAGACCTGGATGATGGCCACATGTGGCCTGGAGGCCGAAGGTTCTCCACTCCTGGGTCAGACCATGTCATTCTCCTACTCAATAAGCTCAGTGGCCCCCAATTACGACCAGGATCACATCTGAAAACAAACAAAAAACAGGCTGCCACCTCCTGACAGAGAGAAGGTGAACTCAAGGTGCGGAATGGGATGTATTTTCGGACATCCATGGCCAAAGTGGAGATTCGTGTGGCTCAGTTATGCCTATTTGATACAAAGATTTTGCTTTTTCTTTCAGTTTAGAGAGTGAGAGTTTGTATAAAGCTGGATAATGGGAAGTTCTGGCAATAGTTTCTGTTGTGTTTTGTTTCCTCTTTCTGGTGGTTCCTCCTATTGGTTCCAATTCTTCCTTACAACATCACTAATGTGAAAAAATGTTTAATAGGAATGTATATGTACAGCCTGTATCAGATTTCGTGCTGTCTTGGGGGAGAGGGAAGGAAGGGGAGAAAAATTTAAAACTCAAAAGCTTACGGAAGTGATTGTTGATAAATCAAAAGAAATTAATTTAAAAAAAAAAAGAAAATAGCGTGTTGAATTAGTCGATGCCTCGAGGAAGGAGCAAGATGTCACGCAATCCTTTTTTTCCTGTTCTCCTTTGTACGTCATATTTGGTGTTTGTTAAATTCAGAATAAAATGAAGTGAAAAAGGAGTCCCGACTCTCTGGGCCTCAGTTTCCTCATCTGCAAAGTTGCGGGGGCTGATTTAGACGACGTCCAAGGTTCCCGTCCAGCTCTGCATCCAAGATGCCGTGGGCTCGGCCAAGTCTCCTCTCGGAATGTTCCCACCGATAAAAGTGGTGGGCTTGGTCTAGATTCTAAGGCCCCTTCCAGCTGTGATTCCCGGTGGGAGTCCGTGAAAGAGGCTGCACGCCCACGGCCGCCCCGCCACGCTAAAGTGGATCTCGTATTCCCCTCCCTCAGCCCCAGCCCCAGCCCCGCAGTGCCCCTCACTAAGATGCCCGCGTGAGCCCCGCAAGGGGCGGGGCTCCAGGGCCAGCTCCGCCCCGTCCCTCCCTTCGGGGGGAGTGGGGCTGGAACAGAGGCGGCGAGGGGTGACATCAGCGCATGACTGTGTTTTTATGAATGAAAGGAATCCTGTGAGTGAGTAATTCCAGGAAACTCACATTACAACTCAGCAGATTGCTGCGTTCGCCGCTGTCGCTCGCGCCACCCCGCCAGCAGGCAGCCTCCACTCTCGGCTGCCCGAGCCCGAGTCCGACCCCGGAGCACGGTCCGGGGAGGCGGCGACTGGAGGCCGAGAGGGACCCATCACCCCGGGAAGGCGGAGGAAGAGAGAGAGAGGAGAGAAGGAGGAGGAGGAGGAGGAGGGAAAGAAAGGAGAGACTTTCAGATCGAGTAGGAGAACCAGGGTGAGTACGCGCGGACGAGGCCGCCTCCCCGGGGGCCCTCAAGGTTGGGGTGCACGGGTCGGCCTTTCCACTGTCCGGCTGCTGCCTTCCACTCCACAGTGACCCCCTTTTATCCCTTCCCGTCCGCTTTTTGCCCCCTCGCAGACCTTGGCTTCCTGGAAGCTTGGGAGGGGAACGCTGGACAGGGATCTCGTGTGTGTGTGTGTGTGTGTGTGTGTGTGTGTGTGTGTGTGTGTGTG